CAGCTCAAGGGGAATGCCCTACCACTAGAGACACAACGCCACTTCGAATTTTCTGGTGGTTAATTGAAGATAAGACTCTGCCTGGGCATGCTTTGAACCATGATTCTTGGATCTAAGCCTCTTGAGTAGCTATGATTTAAGACCTGAGCCATTGGCACCCAGCTAATATGAGTTTGTTTGTTTGTTTTTTCCTCTCAATAAGTTTTTATAATTGTGAAAATACTGTACAGAGGGGTTACAATTACATGAGCAAGGTACTGAGTACATTTCTTAACAAGCATTGTTGCCCCTTACCATCCCTGCCCTCCCATCCCCCGCTTGCCAAAGTTCCTTTCTTGACATAATATCTTGCACATCTCATTTTTGCAATGGGTCCACCTGTATCCCTATTTAAACAATTTCTTTTTTCCCTTCCCCTCCACAAATTATACCAACATCAAATACAGCGAAAACGGATTATACCGTGGGGGAGGGACATACAAAGCAACAAAGAAATAATCTTAGAAATATGTTAGAAACAATAGCAAGAAAGAAAAACCATTTGAGTCCTTATCTTGGGGTTCATTTCACCTAACATCAACTTATCTGACTTTTTCTGCTTGTCTCAGTCATATACCAGTTATTGCAAATAAGAAAAAACATGGGACATATGTTTCTTCGGGCCTGGCTTACTTCACTTAATATAATTTTTTGCCAAGTCTTTCCATTTCCTAATAAATGGGGCAATGTTATTCTTTCTGATGGAGGCATAAAATTCCATTGTGTATGTATACCACATTTTCTTGATCCATTCATCTACTGAGGGGCATCTGGGTTGGTTCCATATCTTAGCTATGGTAAATAATGCTGCAATAAACATAGTTGTGCTGGTAGCTTTAGTATGGTCTTCTTAGTGATGATTTGGGTAAATGCCCAAAAGTGGGATTGCTAGGTCTTAGGGGAGCTCTATGTGGAGTCTTTTGAGGACTCTCCATATTAATTTCCTGAGTGGATAAACAAGTTTATACTCCCACCAACAATGCAGTAGGTTTCCCTTTTGACCACATCCCCTCCAGCAACTGTTGTTATTAGATTTCTTGATTATAGCCATTCTAACTGGGGTGAGGTCGTATCTCTGTGTTGTTTTGATTTGCCTGATGAACATTGATGCAAAACTTCTCAACAAAATTTTGGCCAATACACTTCAACAATTCATCCAAAAAATCATACACCACGATCAAACAGGATTCATTTCAGGGATGCAAAGATGGTTCAATATCTGCAAATCAATTAATATAATTCAGCACATCAACAAAAGCAAGATTAAGAACCACATGGTTATCTCAATAGATGCAGAAAAAGCATTTGACAAGGTCCAACAACACTTTATGATGAAGGCTCTGGAAAAGCTAGGAATCCATGGAACATTCCTCAGTATAATAAAGGTAATCAATGGCATTTTTGTATGACAACAATGAAAAAAGCATGGCTGAAATCAGCAAAGCAACTCCATTCGTAATAGCCTCACAAAAAAATACAACACCTAGAAACTAACTTAACCAAAGAAATGAAAGACCTCTATGATGAAAACCTTAAAAACCTGAAAAGCGAAATCAAAGCAGAACTTAGAAAGTGGAAAAATCTCCCATGCTCCTAGATTGGTAGGATCAACATCATGAAAATGGCAATACTTCCCAAGGCTATCTACAAATTCAATGCGATACCTATCAATATTCCAACCTCATTCTTCAAGGAAATAGAAGAAGCAACACAAAAATTCATATAGAACAATAAAAGACCCCAAATAGCAAAAATGACCTTTTTTTTTTTTTTTTTGGTCCGGTCGTGGGGCCTGAACTCTGGGCCTGGGCGCTGTCCCTCAGCTCTTCAGCTCAAGGCTAGCACTCTACCACTTGAGTCACAGCGCCACTTCCGGCTTTTTTCTTTTTGCTTATGTGGTGCTGAGGAATCGAACCCAGGGCCTCAGGCATGCAAGGCACGCGCTCTACCACTGAGCCATCTTCCCAGCCCCCAGAAAAAATGACCTTTAACAGAAAGAACAGTGCTGGAGGAATATCAATACCAAATTTCAAACTCTACTACAAAGACATAGGAATCAAATAGGTACCGGCACAAAAACAGACCTCAGGACCAATGGAATAGAATTGAAAACCCAGAAATTAACTTACACACCTATAACCATCTAATCTTCGATAAGGGAGCTAAAAAAATAGAATGGAAGAAAGACAGCCTCTTCAGTAAAGGGTGCTGGCAAAATTGGTTAATCACTTGTAGAAAACTAAAGCTAGATCCTTATATATCACCCTGCACCAGAATCAACTCCAAATGGATCAAAGGCCTTGGAGTCAAAGCAGATACTCTGAAAACATTACAGGATGGAATAGGAGAAACCCTAAGTCTCCTTGGCACAGGCCAAAATTTTCTTAAAAGAGACTCAGAAACACAAGAAATCAAAGAAAGTTTGGACAAATGGGATTGCATGAAATTGCAGAGCTTCTGCATGGCAAAGGACATAGCTAGCAAGATCAATACAAAGCCCTCGGATTGGGAAAAGATCTTCACTAGCCATACAATGAATAAAGGTCTCATATCTAAAATATACCTGGAATTAAAAAATTAAATCCCCCAACAACAAATCCTCAAAGAAACAACTACATGATAAATAAGTGGGCTAAACACTTAGAGACTTCTCTGAAGAGGAAAGGATGACCAATAGACACATGAAGAAATGCTCAACCTTTCTAGCCATAAAAGAAATGCAAATCAAAACAACATTGACATACCACCTCACCCCAGTTAGAATGGCTATAATCAAGAACTCTAATAACAACAGATGCTGGAGGGCATGTGGAGAGAAGGGAACCTTACTGCATTGTTGGTGGGAGTTTTGGAAAGTAGTATGGAAGTTCCTCAAAAGATTCCACATAGAGCTCCCCTATGACCCAGCAATCTCACTTTTGGACATTTACCCAAATGATCACAAACAAGACCATACTAAAGCTACCAGCACAACTATGTTTACTGCAACATTATTTACCATAGCTAAGATATAGAACCAACCCAGATGCCCCTCAGTAGATGAATGAATCAAGAAAATATGGTATATATACACAATGGAATTCTAAGCCTCCATCAGAAAGAATGACATTGCCCCATTTGTTAGGAAATGGAAAGACTTGGCAAAAATCATATTAAATGAAGTAAGCCAGGCCCAAAGAAACATAGGTCCCATGGTTTCCCTTATTTGCAATAACTAGTATATGTCTGAGTCAAGCAGAAAAGGTCAGATAAGTTGATGTTAGGGAAATGAACCCTAAGATATGTATTCAAATGTTTTTTTCTTTCATGCGATTGTTTCTAACACATTTATGAGATTATTTCTTTGTTGCTTTGTTTGTCCCTCCTCCATGGTATAACCTCTGCTTTCACTGTATTTGATGTTGGTATAATTTATGGAGCGGAAGAGAAAAAAACAAATCATTTAAATAGGGATACAGGTGGACTCCCTGTAACAATGAGATGTACAAATCATTATGTTGAAAAGCAAACTTTACATCTTTGGCGGAGGGGGGGTGGGGGTAGAAGATGGTAGAGAGGGTGAGGGGGGGGAGATGGGAAGGGATGGAAAGGGGAAACAAAGGAGGAGGCTACAATGCTTGATAAGAAATGTACTCATTATCTTCCCCATGTAATTGTAATCCCCTGTATGGCATTTTCACAATAAAAAATTTGTATCATTAATAATGCAAAATCAATTTTAATTATATATCAAGAAAATATGGTATATAATTGTATAAAGTTTAAATAATGTAATTTTGATCTCTACTGAAATACAGCATTTATTTTTTTAAGAATATTCTTGTAATTAGATTACATTAAACTGTAAAGATTAGTACTAAAACAAAGACTACATTTTACATCGTAAGTAATTTGATAGACTTAAATTTGTTTAAGGTGCTCTAGAAAAAAAATTGCATTAAGTGAAGTAAGCTAGACTCAAAGAAATATAAATCCCATGGTTTCTCTCACTTGCAATAATTAATATATGTCTAGGATAATTTTATCGGATGAGCAGAAAAGCTCAAAATCTATGTACATATGACCATATAAGATAATGTCAATGTCAAAAATGAGCTTTACAATGTCAGTGGGGCGGGGGGGGAGGCTGGGAAGGGAGGTGAAGGGTAAACAAAGGAGGAGGCTGCAATGCTTGGTAAGAAATGTATGCATTATACTGCCCATGTAATTGTAACTCCTCTGTACAGTATGTTCACAAATAAAATTTTAAAAAAAGATAATGCCAAGTAAAATGATCCCCAAGATATGGACACAAGAGGTCTTTCTTCTTTTTGTTTTTAATGTACTATGTGATTCTTTTTGTTTCCATTGTATGTTCTTCCCCTCTATGATATATCATCTGTTATCATTTGATTTTGGTACCTTGCATCTTGTATATACATTTATCAAATTTGAAGGAAGGGGAATCACAAAATGCTGAAACAAGGACACAGGATAACCCATTGCAACAATGATACCCACAAGACACTATATTTACAGCTTGTGGGGGGGGGGGAGGCAGAGAGGTGGGAGAGGGAAGAGATAGTGGGAGAACAACAAAGGAGGGAGTAACAATTCTCGACAAGAAATGTACTCATTACCTTACTCATGTAACTGTAAGCTGTCTGTCCAGCATGTTTACAATAAAATAAAATTTTAAAAAACAGTAAAAGGTATTGTTAATTACTTCCCCGATTTGTCCTGAGAAATTCTTGATATGAACTCCTGTGCACATAATTACCATGACTTTTTCATTTGAATTAGAAGGAAATATTCTTAAAACTCAAAAATACCAGTATGAGGCATTAAATTACAAGTCTTGAAAACTCTGACTCATATAGGCTCAGATGATATTTAATTGCCCAGACTAAAATCTCCTCATGCCAATTCTCCACCAAGTATTAGAAATGAAGCTGAACTAATCTCTATCAATTTTTTTCCAGGAAGAACTGAACCCCATTATTGTCACCCCACCAATCCAAGCCACCGATCAGGACCGGAATATTCAACCACCATCAGACAGACCAGGCATCCTCTACTCCATCCTAGTTGGTTTGTATCTGCTAACATTTTACACTATCATATCACATTAAAAGTTTTCTCTCATTATAGGAAAAGCTTTTAGTAACAAGTGTTTAACACCGGAAATTATTATTACACAAACACACACATAAATAATTGGAAATAACAATATAAACATGCTCCCTCTTCACAGTTAGTTTCCATACTAATGTGTAGAAAATAAATGAAGATATTTTCATTAGAGGAAACAAAGAACAACAGGACATTTATTAGTATCTTTCTGTTTTCTACATAGGAACTCATAAATCATTATCTATTAAGCATAATAATGGTTTTTTAATTGGTTGGATACTATAAATACTTTTGTAATATGTCTGAATTAAACAAGGGTTATTTTGGGGATATGTGGGAGAAAGTAAAGAATTATGCTTAGCAAAAAGACACTTGATAGTTTATACCTATGACTAATTTCTTCTTGAAAGTCCAAATACATCCCTAATGCATATACTTCTAGTTGTTCAAAAAGAGAGAGATGAAGAGACTTTTGTTCTTCATCTTTAGTTTTGGCTAAAATATGGGTATTATGGCTGCTTTGTATAGTTTATAAGCGTGACAGAGAGCAGTGCATGGGACAGGGAAGAGGGTTACAGGGTCAGACCATGAATCTGTGTCTGAAGAAAGCTGGCTTTGCAAGGGTGAATGGAAATACTTCAATGGCATTCAATGTTAGCCTCTAAGCTACTTTGTTCTATGCGTATGTCCTGTGTGACTACATACTTATGTGACAATAGATGCCCACTAGATTCTATACTGTTATATTATTGCATATTCAGCAAGGCTTTCTGTAAAGTAAAACAAAAAAAACAAAAACAAACAAAAACAAACAAATATTTCTGTTGCAAAACTTTAATCTTCAGAAAAGCACATATATTGTAAGCCATTTGCATAAATGAGATAATTAAATTATTTAAAAGCTTGTACATACATAAGCTTCTTTTAATTTTATAGAGGTTTTGGTATAGATAAAAGAAAATAAACATTGTTTGCTTCATTACTTGAAGACTTAAAATTATGTCAATCACTGTGCTTAATGCAGTAGAATAAAAGTACTTCAAAAATTAGCAATAAATGTTTTATATTAAGGGAGGTAGAGTTTGTAAATAGAAAGAGTCAAAAAACTTAATTTAATAACATACTTTTGGATGATACACATATTGTCTACACCAAATGTTGTACGGGCTCCTTGGAAGGGAACACCAGTTATTCCCAAGGGTATTGCTTGAGGTAGAGACATTTAATCAGAAGACTTAGGGTTTTCTGGTAGAAGATGCAAGTGACAGTTTTTCGATAGATGATTCAGCATGTTTGAAAGCCCCAGAAGAAAATATTAAGAATAGACTTTGGGAATCATACTATTTAAAGGCGCTGGTACTGATTATTATTTGTGTTATTTTAAATTAAAAGTTACATTATTTCAATAAATGATTATTTACTCTATGGAGTAGATATTTAGAGTAGTGGAACACTGAGTAAGAAACTGTTTTCCTAGCAGTGGGATATGTGATATATAATCAGTGTAACATAAATACAATATATTAACTCAGTGTTTCATGTACAAGTTAGAAGGTGTAAATTTGATAAGAAGAGAAACACCACAGAGTTTGGTTTGCAGGATTAAGTAGGATAATTGGTGTGTGTTTCCTTGAATCAGTAAGAGATTGGCAAGTCTTTCAGAAACCAGAGGAGTTGATGCTCATTTCTGAGAGTGAGGTGAAGAGCCTCTATTTAGGCAGATAAAAATTTGAGCTTTTCTGAAACCTCAAGGAAGCTCATTGCACTGGAGATAAATGAATAAGGTGAAAGCAGAAAAAACAACAGAAACCATGACACCAGGAGCTACAAAGGCCAGTGGCTAATTTTTCTATTTTTGTCATTTACTCTGATTGAATTAAGGTTCCAAATTTTCATCAGAAAAAAAATGACATGATGATGTTACGTCAAATCAAGCTAGAAGCAGGAGATAATTGCTACTCCCCCAAATCAGCATAACCTCCTATTCTAACTTTGCTCTCTAGGTTTAGAGATGTTAGAACATCCTAGGTATTGAAAACATAGCATCTAAAATGACAGTGTTCATGTGTAAACTATGACTTTAACCCAAACTAACTGTAATTTTCGAGGTATTGTTAGAGCTTCCTTTACCTCAAGTTACTCCCTTTAAAATGGGCTGACAAAATATATAGTTTTGTTTGGAGCATTTGATCTTATATACAACATTTGATGTAAACAATATGTGTATCATCCAAACCTATGTTATTCAACTAATCTTTTTGAATCCTTCTAGCTACATACTCCACCCTTCCTTAATATAAGACATTTATTGTTTATTTATTAAAGTATTTTTATAATACTACATAGGTCCTGTAGAAAAGTTAATTCTAAACAGCTAGATGATACTGTTGTTATCAACATAAAGGAAACTAAAGCTTGTATTCTTCATTACAATAGACTGGCATGAATAGAACTATCCACAGGATTTCCAAACCTCTGTTTTCAGGGTTTTTTTTTTTTCCTAAATCCTTAACTTTCCTTAAATCCATTCTAATAATCAAGGACATATATGTGTTTCTCAGAGAAAACTCTCAGCTACAATGTAGAAAACTTCTCTGCTTGCTTTTAGATACCATAGTTTCTGTTGATGAGATGTGAGGCTATGAATGTTGTCTGAAATGACAATTCAACGATGTCACCAGTCATACACCATTATTTCAATAGAATTATTGACATTGCAATTAAGCATCCTCTGCAATCAAGTGGCTCACTGTTACCTTGAGCCTTTTTTTCCCCCTGCACTATGTGCCCTAAGAGTTTCTGCAAACAATCAGTAAATGCACTGAGAGATCAACTTATATCAAATCTAAGGGGGAAGGATGAAATTTAAATAAAAATAAAGAAAGTGAATTTAATCTCAAAATTCTCTAAGACATCATTAGCTATACTCGCCTACATAAAATTCGTACTTCAAAACAGAACAAAGAATAAATGTATGAATACATAATGGCACAACATATTATAGATTACAGGTTAATTTAGATGTACACATCCAGGAAGTCAACAAAGTCCAATGAACATCAGCCCAAAGATATAAACCTAGACATAGACTCTCCAAACCTTCATATAATAAAAAAATTGTTGAAAGCAAGAAAAGTGCACATTTTCATGGGCAATTGAACCTCAAAAAAATTAGCACTTGGTTTTTCAGAAACACGATGGATGTTGGCAAGCAGTTGCATGACGTGTTCAATGTGCTGAAAGAAAAGAAAGTCAGTGAGCAGAGCAGATCATTCCTTTCAAATGAAACACAAAAGCAATTCAATTGAGGAAGAAATTCAATGCAAAAGTTATCCTTTGTAATTATATGTATCTCTCTTGTCATACTATTTTAAGATTATCCTAGATATAGCACTTTCATTGGTAAATATCTATTGTAATAGTCTGTAAAATAAACCTACATGGAGGGGATGGGTAATAATTGGAACATAAATGGAGGAAGAAAGAGGTAGTAAATACAGTCATTATCTACATAGTATGGTATGTAAAGATTAACTCCATAAAATGAGAGTAAGGATAGGATGGGAGAAGATGAGGGGTTTTAAACAATGGAAGATGTGACATTGATCAAGATGTTTTGTCCTCATAAAATGACTTCTAGAATTGAAATCCCTTTGTACAACTATGTATTAAAATTAAATGTTTATAAAAATGATAGCTGCATATCATAGATCACTGAGAGAATATTTAATTTGATTGTGTCATCCATTAATCATTCTTTAGTATCATCAAATATCTACGCACATTTTGTCATCATTTTCTCATAAGTGTTATTATTTTATAGGAATTTTTTTGGAATTTTGAAAGTGCAGGAAAGGGACTTAGGAATTACACAATATTCATTTCATTGTGATTAATATTCCTCTGCAGTCAGTTTAAGTCTATGCCAGTTCCCTTTCTATTTACATATTCCGTATGATATAAGATTGGCCATGAAATTATTTATTATATGAAATTTGGTTAAACATTTAATTAATTTATAATATATGACATTTTTGCCTGTACAAAATATAAAACAGGAATGTAATTTATAAGTCTCACTTCAATGCTCCCTATAAACTGTATTGTGCTCTCCTTGGAATGAGTTTAAATGTTGCTTTTGTCCTTTGTATTTTCTGTAAGCAAATAAGAGAATTTGTTTATCCCTCTCAATATTATTTCATAAATAGTATATGTGTCTTTTGGAATGACATCACTGAACACCAGAGACTACATAACTTAAACAATAACAGATTTGTCTTCTCAAAATTTTATAGACAAGACACACAACGAGGAGACAATGCTTGATAAAAAATGTACTGGTTACATTGCCCATGTAATTGTAACTCCTCTGTACGGTATTCTTACAATAAAAACAAAACAAAAAAAATTATAGACAAGAAACCCAAGATCCAGGGCAGACATCCTACTTCTTGAGTAGCTAGAATTCCAGTTGTGACCCACTGGTACATGGCTTTAGCATCGTTTTGACCAGCACTTCTGTGTTTCTGTCTTTGTATATGGCTGAGAATCATTTGACTTTTTCTGTCATTGAACCCTTTGTTCATCCATAGTTAAGCATTTTTTTGTCAATCATGGGGCTTGAACTCAGAGCCTGGGATCTGTCTCCGAGCTCTTTTGCTCAAGGCTAGTGCTCTGCCAATTTGAGCCATATTGCCACTTCCGTTTTTCTGCTAATTCGTTCTAGGTAAGACTCCCACAGACTTTTTCTGGCTTTGAATAGCAATCCTCGGCTCTAAGCCTTCTGAGTAGCTAGGATTATAGGAGTGAGCCACTAGGGCCTGACACACAAACTATTTTGAATTCATCTTGGGTCTTTCTCCTTATGTAATTCATGAAAGATATTAGAGATATGGACCTCCTGTCCTTGATATAATTTGGAAATATTGCCCCAGTTACTCACATGATTTTATTTCATTTATATATCTTGTCATTCAATTTTGTACCATAATAAATTTTTTATTCCTTATTTTTATTTTATTTTTCCTTATCTTTTTAATTAGCATATATTAGTAGTATGAGAGGGTTTCATTATGAAATATCCATCCATTCACACATACACTTTGGACAAATTCACTTCTACAAATTATTGATTCTCTCTTTTAAAACATAATACAGAAAAAAATAGAATTGAAGAGAATTTCTCTAGGAAGAAATCTATTTACTGTTACTACAAAGCTACATTTATGAAATTCTACCCTGATACTAAGAATATTATCAAGACTATATTTGAATTTACTCTGGTTGGCATAATTAGCTAAACACTTATCTTCAAATAATCCTTCCAGATGGAGCAGAGTATGTTCATAGTAGTTTCCAGGCATCTAGATATGTGGTTTAAATTGCTAGTCATTATTTATTACTAGATATGTTGAAAAACACAAGCTATAATTAAGATTTATGCACCATTAAAATACAATTTTATAATCCAAATTCACTTTCACTTCACTTAATGTCTTTTCATATGAGAAAGTTCCAAATTAATTAAAGAGCTCTTTTAATAAAAAAAACTCTGAAAATCGTACAGACAAATACTTTCTATTTTCTTACTTAGAAGTTAATTAATTATATACCACATTTGTGTCTGCTTTCCCTAGACTGCATAATTTTGAAACTTAATTTACTAATGAAAATGTAATTTTCTTTTTCAGTTAATGAAGGGAAATGGATGAAGCAGATACCCATATTACTTTTTATTCTCAATTATGAGATGAAATCTCAATGTCTTTCAGGCACTCCTGAGGATTTCCCACGATTTTTCCACATGCACCCCAGGACTGCAGAACTCAATCTCTTGGAGCCCATAAACAGAGATTTCCATCAGAAATTTGATTTGGTTATTAAGGTAAATTAAACTAATATTGTATTTCCTTATATTTATGAAATGTTAAAGAAACATATGTGGCTACATATATGTTTTAAGAATTAACATCAATGTGAAAATAAATTCATCATTTTTCAGGAAGACCAAGTTCAGTGAGGTGCCAGTGGTTCATGTATATAATCTTAACTACTGGTGGAGTTAATATCTGGAATATCATAATTCAAGGCCAGCCTGGGCAGAAAAGTCTGTGAGACTCTCTCTAAAACAATCAGAAAATTACTGGGTTTTTTGAAGTATGATTTAAGGCATAGAACAAAAGCTAAACCAGCCAGCTAATTGTGGTTAACAACAACAACAATAATAACAATAATAACTGATGAACAATATATAAATTAATTAATAAGTTCTGTTTAAATACACTTTATTGTTAAGTATCAAGGTGACTTTAGTAGTACTAGTAAAAACAGTAATATCTCACATGATTAAATATATGAAGCAAATATAGATAATATAATACAAATGTTCTGATCAAATATATGAAGTATATAGATAATATAATACATTCTATCTTCTAAAATTTATATTTTCACTAAATGGCATTGATTGTTTCAACAAAAAGTAAACAAGGATGATCTTTACGAAGTAGGACTTTATATTATTTAATAATGGGTTATTTTCTTTTTTATTGTTTTTTTATTGTGAAAATACTGTACAAAGGGGTTACAGTTACATGAGCAAGGTAATGAGTACAATTCTTATCCAGCATTGTTGCCTCCTCCTTTGATTTTCCCCTACCATCCCTTCCCTCCCACCTACTCATCTAGCCCCCAATCCCCATCGTCCAGCCCTGCCTAAATTATAAAGTTCATTTTTTCAACATAGTATCTTGTACATCTCATTCTCCTTGATGCAATGGGTCAATCTGTATCCCTATTTAAACAATTTGTTTTTTCCCTTCTCCTCCTCAAATTATACCAACATCAAATACAGTGAAAATAGGGTTATACCTGGGGGAGGGACATACAAAGCAACAAAAAAAAATCACATGGAACCTTATAAATACCTTAGAAACAATAGCAAGGAAGAAAAAAAAAACAATTGTGTCCCTATCTTGGAGTTCATTTCACTTAACATCATCTTATCTTACCTTTTCTGCTTGTCCCAGACATATACTAGTTATTGCAAATAAGGGAAAACATGGAACCTATGTTTCTTTGGGCCTGGCATACATCACTTAATATAATTTTTTCCAAGTCTTTTTTTTTTTCTTGGATATGGGGCTTGAACTCTGGGCAGTGCTCTACCACTTCAGCTACAGCGCCACTTCTGGTTTTCTGGTGGTTTATTGGTGATAGGAGTCTCATGGTCTTTCCTGCCTGTGCTGGCTTTGAACCATGATCCTCGGATCTCAGCATCCTGAGTAGCTAGGATTATACAGGCTTGAGCCAGGAGTGCCCGAGTCTCTCCATTTCCTAACAAATGGGGCAATGTCATTCTTTTTGATGGAGGCATAGAATTCCATTATGTATATATATCACATTTTCTTGATCCATTCATCTACTCGGGGGTATATGGGTTGGTTCCATATCTTAGCTATGGTAAATAATGCTGCAGTAAACATAGTTGTGCTGGTAGCTTTAGTATGGTCTTGTTTGTGATCATTCAGGTAAATGCCCAAAAGTGGAGTTGCTGGGTCATAGGGGAGCTCTATATGTATTTTAATGTTTTTTTCCTTTCATGTATTTGTTTCTAATGCATTTATAAGATTATCTCTTTGTAGCTTTGTATGTCCCTCCCCCACAGTATAACCCCTGCTTTCACTATATTTGATGTCAGTATAACTTGTAGAGGAGATGGGGAAAAACAAGTCTTTTAAGGATACAGGTGGACCTGTTGCAACAATGAGAAGTACAAGTTGTTATGTCAAAAACGAGCTTTACAATGTTGGTGAGGGGGAGGAAGTGGGGAGGACTGGGTTGGGGGGGGAGGCAGGGAAGGGATGTGAAGGGTAAACAAAAGAGGAGGCTGCAATGCTTGATAGGAAATGTACGCATTATCCTGCCCATGTAATTGTAACCCCTCTGTACAGTGTGTTCACAAAATAAAATAAAATAAAAAAGGGAAGGGGAAACAAAGAGGAGGCAACAATGCTTGATAAGAAATGTACTCATTACCTTGCCTATTTTCACAATTAAAAAAAAAGATGATCATAGGCCTGGAAAAAATTTCAGATCTGGAAATTTTTAACTGGCATTTCATACAGAGGGAGCAGAGGATTTTTTTTTTATCTTTTTCTATCTCTTTTTAATTTGACCCTGGTATACTAAGATAAATCCTTGCTAAAACAAAAACTTTAAATCCATGCTAAAATATTTGGAACTTCAATTAAGATTTAATAAAACTAATATGTTATAATTAAATAAATTATAAATTAAATAAATATCCATGCCGTGGAAGCCAAATATTTGTCCAATTAATCCAGTGGACTTCTTTGAGGTGAGAATTGAGTTTGGTTTTAAAGAAGACTGGGCACCTATTAATGGGATTGAAAGACAGTCATCATAAGAATAGACAAGACAACAAAAAATCATGGAATGAGTCAAGCAGATATTTCACGAGTTTTCTCCTCTGTGCACACTAAATAATTAGCCATAGAAATGAACACTTAAGGTATTTTCCTCTCTGTTTTACATTTAGAATAATTAAAGGAAGTGAAGTAAGAAATCTTCCTGAGCAAATATGGTGTTTTCTGAATATTTCCCATGATACCTTTACTCCAACTTATATAACATATGCTCATTTGTACAAAATTTGGAAGACAGAGCTAAAAGATCCTTGATGATTAAGAGGAGGTAAAAATAATATTTGATATAGCATTATTTAAACAATGCTCTTCATAAGCATATGTAGTTGCTTAAAAATAGTTTAATTATCATGCTAAGTTAACTATATATAAATACATTTAATTTAGCTTGAAATACTACTATTTAGTACAACTGCCAGAAATATAGATCCCATGCTTTCCCTTATTTACAATAACTAGCATATGTCTGAGACAAAGAGAAACGATCAGATAAGTTGATATTGGGTGAAAAGAACCCCAGAAAGGACTCAAATGTTTTTTCCTTTCTTGCTATTGTTTCTAACATATTTATAAGATGTTTTCTTTGTTGCTTTGCATGTCCCTCCCCCACGGTATAACCCCTGTTTTCACTATATTTGATGTTGATAATATTTTGGGAGGGGAAGGGAAAAAAAACAATTGTTTAAATAGGGATACAGGTGGACCCATTGCAACAATGAGATGTACAAGACATTATGTCGAGAAACGAACTTTACAACTTTGGCGGGAAGGGGAGGAGATTAGAAGGGATGGGAAGGGGAAACAAAGGAGGAGGCAACAATGCTTGATAAGAAATGTACTCATTACCTAGCTCATGTAATTGTAACCCCTCTGTACAATATTTTCACAACAAAATAAAAGAATTATTTTAAGTAGATTTTGTCCATGAAGCATATATATATATATATATATATATATATATATACACACACACACACTCCATGAAGTATATATATATATATATATAGTGTGTGTGTGTGTGTGCGTGTGTGTGTGTGTGAGAGAGAGAGAGAGAGAGAGAGTATGTCTAAAACAGATAAGCCATAGATAAGACACCAAATGTTAACCAAGAAACACAAGAAAAATCCACCAAAGGAACTAAACACAGAAAAGGGACATTGGAATTAATCATAAGGTTGAGGGAGATTTTTGATGATTACCCCAAGCTAAGAAGTGTTATACTGAAAGAGTATGCCCAATTAAAGAAAGTAGGGGATACGTTTTATCATAAGAAAAAATAAAATAAAAGCATGAGGACATTACACACCCAAATTCAGTTAACAGGAAAGGAAGTTTGGATATGATATGGGCAGATAGAGATGCTTTGGATTTCATTTAGCTAGGTTTGGGGAGCCATTCATAAAAGAGCCCCTGTTTTGTATTTATATAAACTGGCCATGCTTGAGATTAATCAGCATACATTGGCAATGTTCTTTTAAATTTTATGGGATTATATATAACTCAAAAATGAATAGTATCTACTGTCATCTAACTAGAGCCTTATACTGCTTCTCTGTAAGGGATTGAAAACATTTGTCAAATCTCTGCTTCCAAACTGCCTCATTTGAAGCCAACAAAATCGATCATTTGCCTTTACTATCAATGCCAGCTCTTGTGGCACACCTGTGTGAAGTATAGTTCAGTTCATCAATTACATAGGGAAAAAAAGTCAATTAGAAATAGAAACAGATAATTTCTTAAAATGATTTAATAACATTTTACATTATTAATAGGAGTTTTTGCAGGCATTATTAGATTCAAATTGTGTATTTTGTGTGAAGTCACAGGGATAATAAGCAAAATATCAATCTGTAAGAATAATAATTGGTCACCTGCTTGAATAATAACTGTGTATTGTGGCATTGTTCAGGGACCCACTGAACCACTACAATCTAACAATCCTCCTCTGCAGTAAGTCTTTCAGTTCCTTCCCTTTTTCTTATTTTAATGATGTTTCATTTTTCACTCACCACAAAAGTTTTATTGGGCTTGATCCAAGTTTCAATTTTGAAAGCTGAGGGGGAAAAAAGTAAAACACAATCAAGTATCTATTCCTAGACTTTGAAAAATAATTCTGCTTTAAAAAGCAGCATGCACACTTAACAGCTGGTTAGTGTCACGAATTAAAGATTAATCATCTTCACTTTTTTCTTAGTATTTCTGCCAGTGATTTAATGTACTGACAAGTAAAAATGTAAAGGTGAATCTAGGAAGACAAAGTTGGATAGTTTGCACAGTGTAGCATATTAAAGGATTAAAAGTCATAATTGGAAGACCAAAGGATGTTCCATTTCACCTCACAAACCTAACCTTCCATGAATAATTATCATTTGAGAATATTTAAAAACATGACAGAATTTGTGAATGGGAATCATATACGGAAGTTGACACAGGACAT